CGCTCGCCACTCACCTTCTGTAGCTCCAATGATTGGTCTTCCTTACAGCTAATCGACTCGCGCTGGCTGCTTTGGACTTCCTTTTCACCCAAGCCCTACAGCTAATCGACTCGCGCTGGCTGCTTTGGACTTCCTTTTCACCCAAGCCCTTGAACAGAGTCCGTAACGGTAGTAAACCAATGCACAAACCCGCGAAAATGGATAGAAAAAAAACTTAGAAAACAAGAAAGAAAACTGCTACCCCCCTCATTGGTTGGGTGATTACGAAGAAGCAGCAGACCTTTGACTTTATTCATACCTCACTGTCAGGTGGAACCTGCATTTCCATGCTCTTTTGCAGTTCCATGCTCTTTTGCAGTTCCATGCTTGCTTTGCTCTTTGACGAAATGTTCTCCGATCTCAGTGCGGCCTCCAGTCTTTGCTTAACTTGCTTGATGCTGGGCCGCGAGCTTGGGTTTACCTCCGTGCACCAGACAGCGAGCTCAAGGACTGTTGTCAGCGAGTCTAGGGAGTGCATCGAATCCGTGATTCTACGGTCGATAATGCTCTCCATGCCTCCGCTGGCCTTGCTTTCTTGAACCTGCACACAATGACATTGCCCCAATTTGGAAAACTTAACTCGATTTCGAGCCCATTACAACCAACACCAGACAAGCTTCGTTCTTTATTGGCCCATATCTGAATTTGGGCGCGTCATCCTTGTGCGCATGCGCCATAATAATCTTTTGCATCGTGTTCCAATTTTAAGGGAGGTCCCAATTGACTCCAAACTTTGGATCTAAGTAAGAGCCCTGGATAGAAGAACAAGTGCGATATCGGGTTATGCATCGTCCACTGTTATTGACTAAGACCAACGCGTACCTCTGAGATTGTGCTATAACATAACCACAGCTATGCTCAAGGATATAGAGCAGCTGAGAGCTCACTTGGACTATACCCGCCTATACCGCCTGGGCACATAGCCCGACTATAGCCGCCTGGAAGGCTGCCCGGCCTCTGAACCGCCTGGGTCCTCGGTGGCCTCAGCGTCAAGGTTCAACCAGGCGTTTTCACACCTGGTAGGGAGTGATGATGTCGATGATGATGATGATGATGATGATGGTGATGATGATGATGATGATGATTCCTCCATGATGAGGACGATGATGATTATGATGATGACGATGATGATGACAATGATGATAATGATGTGTGGAGGGAGGAGAGGCCCTGGAGGGAGACAGGAAAGGCGAGTGTCAGGTCTGCAGGTGGATCATAACCAGACAATCCTTGCTGCATTGCAGGAGTTAGTTAGGAGAGGTGTGAGGGACTTTGCCGTTCAGAGAGGGCGAAGTCAGTTCGAGGGCGCGGAGACAGGCAAGACACTTTGGAGACGGTGAGAATGAAATCAGGCAAGCAAGTTCAAACAGGCACAAATAATGATCTCTGAACAGGTAAAAGCAGGCACAACACCAGTTAAGGATTGGATGACACGTATGGAGCAAAGGAGAAGCTGCTAGGGTTACATTCACATTCTTGAGAGACGACTGCGTCGACAAAGAACTGCAAAATCGCCAGGTCCTTTCACAGCTATTTTGTGCCTACGCGCCAGTTAACCCGCCGCAAAATCGTGGGCCGGGCCTACCAGATGGAAAAAGTAAGCGCCGCCGGGCAAATTGTGCCACATGCTGGTTCGGCAAGAATTGGCGCGACAAAAAATATGCATCGCGAAAAAAAAGAGGCCTGGGGAGATTGGTGGTTTAATGGTTGGAACTTGGGAAGCGAACATGTAAAGAGCGAAAAAAAAAATTCACCAAAATGTTTGTGGTTCTCGGCAGAGAAGATATTCTTCGCAAAATCGGCATCTCCACCACCTGCAGTGTAAAGCAAACGTGTTGTTCACTGCCAACAACTGCTCTATGAATGGGGTGTGCTCATGAACCGGGAATGGACTGACAGTGCAATGCTCGTTTGCATGTTGATGTATGTGTGTGTGTGCTGTCTCTTATACACATCTAGATGTGTATAAGAGATCATGGTACATGCTTTCCACCCATCTTGCAAACAAGCGACTAGCTCGCCTGTTTCGATAACCATCCCTGGCAAGTATGGAGGTCCTAAGACGGCCCACCCAATGTGCTGTAAGATACAAAGTCCTGACTTCCAGGTTGAGAGCAGTTCATGATTAGCCATCTCTGATCAGATAGAATTGCCAGTTTAAGGCACATTCGACTGCCCATTTTGGGGGACAATTCAGGCCTAGCCAGCTCCCATCAGATGGACGGCAGCAAGCATTACCAAGCATTCTGATCAGATCGATAAGCCAAGACCCCAAGCACCTTCCATCAACCCTTATGTCTATCCATTCACACTCTTGGACTATGTGTACACATGTGTATACATGGAGAGAGAGAGAGAGAGAGAGAGAGAGAGAGAGAGAGAGAGAGAGAGAGAGAGAGAGAGAGAGAGAGAGAGAGAGAGAGAGAGAGAG